TTTTTTTTATTATTATTACTCTAAGAAAATTCTATTATAAATTAGCAGGTATATATGGATATAATTAAGATTAAAACTAATTTTGAAACATTATAATCCATCATTCAGAAATATTTTATATTATTTATTGATATATTTAATATACTAATGTAAAAATAATATATCATACTTCAAAAATTTTTAAATTATTTCTTCTTAAAGTGTTTGATCTTAACAAATTTTAATACATTTAAATTTGGTTAAAATATTCTTTATTATATTATATTGTATTTATTTGATCTTTTATTTAGTTTAATTCATTAGCTTCTGAAAGCAATTTATAATAATCTAAATAAAAGTAATTATAATATTATTCAATCATTTATTGTAATAAGATAATCTTGTTACAGGGGGCAAATAAAAGTAATTATTACTTTAAGTGTGTATAAAATGGTTCATGTTTATTAATTCTACTATCAACATTAATCAAGCATCATTAAATAAGTGAAGTCAACAATTATCAATTAATTTTTTCCACATCTCAGTAGAACGTATGCAGTAAATTGATCAGAAATAAGCTTCATTGCTAAAGCTTCAGAACAACTCAACAACATTCTATTGAAAGAAGACATTCAAACATGTAATAGCTTTGCTTTTAGTTAACAACTTAAATATATTTCTAACAATTAATAAGAAAAGTAAAGATAGAGACAGAAGCAGATAAAAAAAAAATTAAATTCATGACTTAATCAAACTTAAAAGTTATAATTAATGGAATTTACTTTATAATTAATGTGAAACTTCAAATAATAAATTATTAATTTTGCTTATGATTTAAATCTAAAAAAGTATTTTAGTTTTAATTATGTCACATTTTTTTAATTATTGTTTGTTGTTTTTGTTAAAAGCATTAAATTGTTCAATAAATTATTAACTTTACAAAGTATGAATTATACTAAGTCAACAGTATATTTAGTTATAATAATGCAATATTAGTGTAATTTGTTATAATACAGTAGTTTACTGCAACATATTCAACAAAGTAACATCATGTTCAATGAAAAAACTGTTACATGTAAACATTATTAATTTGAATTTTGAAGCATTTGAAACAATTTATAAAAATATTGTGAAGGTTTTCCTAAATTTGAAATTATCTTAACCAAACCATTACAGTTTCAACAAATTTATGCATTTTCAAACATGATTCATTCTCAGAAATAAAAGCAAAAACAAATATTACTTTTTCTAGACAGCAGACTAAATTAATTACAAAAAATATTTCAAGACAATTAAAAATAAAACATAACTAAAAGCACCTTTTTCTTTTGTTTACTTTATATAAATCACAGAATTTTAAGTGTTTTTTTTTTTTTTTTTAATATTTCATTTTAATGCATTTTAATTAACAAATTAATTAAAAATAAATACTTTATAAGTAAAAATTTGTTTTGAAAATGATATATAAATGGATTTTTCAAAATTAAATTCAATATAGAATTTTACTGAATAACAATCCCATTCTAGAACAGAACTGTTTTGTTTTCCTAATGTAACAATGAAAAAATGTATGATTAAATGCTACATAAAAAAAAGAAATGATACATGTTTCGTATTCATGATATATGCAAAAGGATATCATGCATTTTCTTCACAACTAATCACTTATCAGTCTGTTTATACCATCTTTAGTGTAATGTTTACTCAACTGATATATTTATTTATAAAGTGAAATTCACTTATTTATTTAAACGATGGTTTCAATTGAAAAATATTTTATTGGTAGAGCTTAAGATTTTTTATTTTCGAACGAAAGCCATAAATATGATTTATGAAATATGAAAATTAATGAGAAAATATTAAGCACTTACCCGCATAAATATTTATGAATGAACGACCCTTGACCTGTAGGCGACGTGCAAGGAGACTTGTCGCATTTGCCATCTTGATTAGAAGATAAATGTTTAAGAAATTCCTGCACCTTCTCACGTAAAGTAGGCATCATTGGTTAGCCACCTAAATTTTTTCCTCCTTTTTTTTTTCGCTTTCACTTCTCGCACAACTCTGATTCCATAGACCGTTATTCACTAACAACTGACGAGCGGATGGCGACCCGGATGAGTTTTGTTTTGATGATTAAAGCTCCCCCTCGTGTCTAGCGTGTAAACTAGATATTAACGATTTTGTCTATAAATAAAACAAAGGAAAAATATATCTTACTTTTTAAAAAATATATTCAATGATAATTTATAAATAATTCTAAATTACGTAAATATACACGTATATATTTATTCGTATTTTGAATCATGACGGCATCCATTCGTGATTATATAACGACATCACATGTAATGATTAACGAATAAGAATTAATTTAAGAAAATTTATGCATATGACGCATTATTACGTTAACTTTGATCATTATTAAAAATAATTATTTTCAAAGTTATTAAAAAGACTAAAAAAATTTAATATATTAATCTTACAAAATTAGACGCTTCAAAAACTTCAAATATCTTTAATTTTACTTTCTAATTAATCTAAGGAGCGATACTCGGTTATGACATCATACACATCTGACATCAATTACGTCATGAAAATAATATTTACTCTCTCTCATATTAGATATAACATGTTAAATTGAGAAATTTTTATAAATTATTATTGCTTTAAAATACTTATATTTATAAACATTATTTTTATCATTTAAGAGAGAATTTTTAAAAAAATACTCTCTCTTAAATAACGCAGTGATTAAATAATGGAGGGATAATTTCAAATTGGCCTCATCCTTTAAATCCTCACCTGAATCAATTTAGAGGTCCTTTTATAAACTTTCTATTTGTCATTTCCCGTTAGACCCTACAGAATAAAGGAAATTCACACATCCGCCTTATTTCATTATAAATTTTGCATAGAATATTTATTTATTTTTTTCTATGCTTAAAAATATATTTTAAAATATTCAAAAAGATTAAAGAACTATCCAAGAAACGTTTAATGGGTACACAGAATAAACAAACCAGGCGAAAGGAGGATATATTTCGCTTATCCATATCCTTTCAAGTTATTCTGAGTATGAGAAATCGCTTCTTTAACAGAATGATTTAAATAAGCTGCTTTATGTGGGAAGGAATGAAGGAATAATCTTTAAAATTTATATCCTGAACTTATCATTAACGAAGAAAGAATGTCAAGGATAAGTCAATATACGTGATATCATCCATCGATAAGTCTGTTTACTTCCTATTGATTGTTATTGAGTAGACTACTGCGAAAACATTACGCGACCATTAAATTTAACAGTTTAAATATATATAATTGTATATTATTATTTTCTTTAAATACTTGTCTTACATAGGTTTTTAATATATAAAATCGATTTGAAAATGCAAAATGCGTGTTATACATATCGTACCGCTGTGCAGAAATTTAACAGTGTTGCTAACTGGCTTCGACGCTAAAATTATAAAATTATATTATCTTATTTTATGAGTGATATTTGTCAAATATATAGCTGACTTATGATCCGGAAATATGTCAGCAATATTGGTGTATGTTTACTTAATTTACTTTAGATTAGTACCAATAAAAATGAAGCGAAAATAGAAATTTTTTATGGCAATTTTCTTAAATTTACTTTCTACATCGCAAAAAAGACTGTTTATATGTAGAATAAATTGATCAGCAGTGTAACTTAATCGATATAATGTTATCCATCAATCTTTAAAGAGACATTTTAAAACAATATTTTCGCTGCATTAAATTTATTCTGTAATAAATTGTATTGATGTTTTTGATGCAAGGAAGACAATAATACACATGAAAATGTCGGTTAATCAGTAAAATTCGCATGATTGAAGCTGTTTTGGTGTGGAACAGATAAATGTGTGTGATGATATGCTTGATCGGTAGATCATTTTAGACTTATGTCAGTCTTAAATTTAAAAAATTCTCCCTTTCCTCTACAGAATTTAAGCTTTATATGAATGCACATTTTATGATCTTTAATATCAGCAAATATTTAGAATTCAAAACATTAAACCAAATTTAGTAAATTTATTTAATTATAACTTTTATAATTAAGTTAGACTTTCGAATTAATTTTCGTTTATGATCTAAATCTAGAAAAAAAGTGATTTTTTAATTATTCTGCTGTTATTTTTAAAACATTAATGTAAATGGTTTAATTAACTTTCTAAAATATTAAAAACAGATTATATTCTTTCTTCAAAATATGAATATTTAATATTCGCTATAAATTAAAAATTTAGGCGAGAGAAAAGTTGATATATTTATTATCTTGTAAAAATTAAAGCATAAAAATATATATATATAATTGTTTATCATCACTTTTCATTTTTGTGAAGATAAAGCAGGTGTTTTAATGGTTAAGCAGTTATCCAGAAAAATTCGTTTTATATTATGATGTGTAGTTGCGTCATTGTAAAATATAAGCAATGAGAAAAACATGTACGTTTAACATCTGGAAAAAAGCCTAATGGAATATTATTTTTCTTATTTTATGAATTAAAAATGGCATAAAATTTGCAATAAAAATATTTTCCTTTTCTATTGCTACAAATATTATTACGAATTGACTGCACTCGTCAAGATTTCTAAATATAGCATCATTCGCATTAAGGAAATTTAAAGTACTCTTCATTAGAAGCGACAGTACAATTTTTTGGCTAATGGTTTTGATGCACCATTACCAAGATAATGGTGTTTTAAGAGCTATCCAATATCACAACAACGAATTTTAAAAAGAATCTAATATATATCCTTCTGTCATTTTTGAATTTAATTTTAAAATGCAAATTTTTTTTTAAATTAATGCTTTATTGGAGCATTAAAATACAGCGTTTCGCTTTCGTTTCACTCCATAAATAACCCAAACGACCTTCATGAATTAAAAATTGTATCTGTTCCACTTGAACTAGAAACCTAGCGATGAGATTTAGATCGAATTTTTTTTATTTTATAGCATATTAGAGGCCGAATTTAAACAGATTCGTACGCATAAAGCTTTTAATAACTTTAAACAAAATCATCATGTACAAAATATTTTCAATTTGAATAAATACAATATAAAAATTTATAAATTACACACACAATTTTATTCATAAATTCATTCTTTATGAGTTTTTGATATATAAACTTTGAATAATTTATTAATTGGTGTTTTAATGGTTGTATTTTCCACGTTTTGATCTTTCTAATGCATTAAACAATTCACAAGATAAAGTATTAAATAAAACAAATAAGTCGGTTTCAATTTCTAAATCGAATAAAAATCCTGAAAATCTATTTTTAACAAGAGGGAGGAAAGAGAAAAAAGTAAAAAAGTAATGTTGAACAGTACGACATGTGACGCACTACCTCAACTGTGTTATTCAGAGAAAACCGTTACATCAATATACAGTATTTCATGCAATTCCCAATAAAACATTCAAAGAACGATCAGTGACCTGTGAAAACCCATTGGAATTTAATTAAATTAATGAATATATCATTCAAACATATGCTTCTATTATATTTTAAGTTAAAGTGGCGGCTTCTGTACATGATATAGCTAAAAAACGCAGCAGATTATATCATTCAATAAAATCATTTTAAATTTGTAAGTAAATCAATAAAATATTTCGTGACTATTTGGGTACAGAAGTCGATTCTTTTCATCTATTTAAACGCTTTAGTAATAAATGAGGAGTGGTTGGCCAAATTCATCGATTTTTAAATTCTTACAGTGAAGTTCACTGACGTCATCAATTGCTATCCCACGTGACAGAGTAGACAACGTTGGGAGGGTCAATATTTATTATTTATTGCTACATTTTGTAGAAGTTATTAACGTATTCAAATAAATTAAATTTGATGAATTTATTCAAACAAAAGCTAAAGAGCGATGAATGCATAAATATATGTTATTTCTATTTTAATCTAAACGAATTTTCTTACATTTATAGCGAAGAAAGGATGCAATTGTCAAAGTTTTGCAATAGATTTTAATATTATATTACAAATTACGACATATTATTTATCTTTTAAACTGATATTAAATATTGAACCAATTAGAATTACTAAAGAAAAATGTAATGAAGTAAACTTTATAAAACATATATTGTTAAATATTATATAATTACTGTATAATCATATTAAAAGTTTTAAGCGTAAAGCTTTATTTAGTAAATTTGATTTTGGAAACAGTTTTAATGTATGACTTATTGACTTTAATATAAGTCATCCATTAAGCTGTTCTCATAATCAAATTTGTTAGCATACAAAATTCGTACAAAATATAGCGTACGAATAGCGTACAAAATTCGTTAGCTTTATAATTTAATAATAATTAGCTAATATTTAAAAACCTTTAAATAAACAAAACTGTATTAAGCTTTATTTAATTTTATTCTTTAAATTGTTAAATTTAATAAAGTTTAGTAGCTTATTGTTATAAAAACAATTCTGTTGTTCATTAAATTATTCTGTATATATATATATAATGAATTGTTATTTTAAGCAAATAATTTGATTTCTTAATAATCCTGTTTATTCAATAATGATATTTAAAATCAATGCTTAATTTTTATTTTCTTTTCTGTTAAATTTTTTTTGCCAGAAAAAAAATCACTTAATCTACTTGTTTCTCATACCTACAATATTTATAAATTAATCATTAGTTTTTTCTTTGAATGTGTCTGTACAATTTCCTTCATTCAATATTTTAAATTAAGTCCCACATGTAGATAACTTTATGTAAATTTGAATAAAGACGACACACTTCATTTTTTACATTTGGGAAATTTGATTTCTATCTCGTAAACTAAATATTTGAATTGTATATTTAATTTAAATATAATACATTGTGTAGTAATAATATTTATTTAGTAACTACCACACATAATTGATGATAGCAAATTAAAGTAAAAGTTTGCAGAATTGAAAAGATATGCATATTTTAAATATTAATTAATTTTAGTGTCTATTTTAACCACATTTAATTTATTAAATTATATAGACCTACATATACATATATATGTAATTCAGTAAAGTTTTTCAGATTTATAATTTAAATATTTAAATAAGATTTACTTCAAAGAACTAGATAAAAATTTCATTTACATACTTTCCAATAATTTAATTATTATAAGTACAAAATAAATTATTTATCCCTAAGATATTTTAAGATATAAAAAATTAAAAACTACAGAAAATTTTATACTTTTTAAAAATAAATAAGTTAACTTTAAAAAATTAGAAATATAGAGTTAATAAAATTATATATCCTGGAGGTACTCTAACTCCCAAGTTATATAGAATTAGAGTAGAATTTATATCTTAAAAGCTGTCAAAAATTTAATTCTGAATTATTATTATTGGAATAAAAATAAACAATTTGGATTTTTTAAGAAAATTATTTCTGAAACAGAATAGCAACACAAGCAACAAATATTTTACTTCAAGCCTGAAAAATGGCCTCCTAACAAGAAACTATATTTAGAAAAAGTTTGAAATAATAACGCTATTAATAAATTTTATAGAAAAAAAGATATAAAATCCTATTGAATTTATCTTTCCCCCATGATGACTTAATAAAAATAAAAGTGAACCAACTTTAAATAATAGAATCTTATGAAACATAAACATTAATTAGAATATTTATAAATCCAAACGCAAAAAGAAAAAATACAGATTCGTTAAAGTAATTTGTTTCTAATTACGGTCGTATTATAATTCATAAAAAAACTTTAAAAACAAAAAAAAAGCACACTTAATCGCCTCTTCCAGAACGCATTGCGGCATGTTGCATCACGTGTCTGTAAGTCATTGACCTCCAACAACGCCATCTAGACATTTCAAACTTTTATAAAAACTAATAACAAATAATCATAATAATTTAAATAAATTATTTAAACCGCATAAAATTTATATTAATAAAAATAACATTTATTCGATTTAAATTATTATTATGTATATATAAAAAAATAAACTCTATTAAGTAAAAATATTATATAAAAGAAAATTTCTTTATCGATCAAGCTGTTTTGATAATGCTTATCGATGGTAAAGTGAATATTATTTTTAGCGTTAAGGACAAGTGAATTAAAATATAAAAGGAAGACACGAAATCGTCGTCACGCCATTGACATAAATATATTTTTCGACAATTTATGTATTTAGGTCGCATGTGTTATTTCATTTAATGTCTCTGGTTTATTGTCCCGCGATCTTATAACCTTCCATTTATTATTTATACATCTGTTATTATTTTAAAAATATTTTTACATTTATATTAATCGCGCAATAAATATTTTATGACTTGCAGGAATATACTTTACTTAAATTTAATCAAGTATTTTTTTGGTACGATAGAGTAATATCAGATTTTTAACCCCGTTTCGGGCCCCACGCGAATATGATTGATGTTATTATTATTATCCGTAATATTACTAGAAAGCTTTTTTTCTTTAAATAAATTAATATTTTTCTTACAAAATTTATCGATTGTAAGAAATCTGTTCGTTGTATTTCAAACATTGGTTCAATTTATTGATTATTGCTAAAATAATACTTGTAAAACTAGGGCATGGAAAGTTTCAATTTAGTTTTTTTTTTTTTTTCTTAGGTTATGATATTATCGAAAACTGATAACTGATGAGAATTTAACAACTTTTTCTTTTTAAATTTTATGTATAAATGTTAAAGTAATAATATAAACACTTTTGGCAGTATTTTAAAATAAGAATTTCATGAGGAAATAATCAAAAATAATCATTTAAAAACATCAAGTAGCTTGTTTTCTTTGAAAGTCTGTCTAAAACTTTCTTCGGCGAATGTACTGGACAGTACAATTAAATTTAAGGAATGTTCTGGTTTATTAATGATTATATCAAAAAATTCATTTATTCTCCACTTATTAACTATTTTAATCACTTGCGCCATACAAAAAATAGACTTATTTATTTAAATATTTTTTTATTTATGAGCTATATTTAAAATGGTTTTACATTGTGCGAAGCCATACGCAAGTGTGGACCTGAAGGACTTTTTATAAGTTTACATAATGTAAACTGGATATCACATGATACCCAATATTACGAAAGGTATTGGCTAGTGTTCCAAGAACGGAATCAGACTAAATATCGATAAGCGTATATTTTTACAGAACGTGTTTAAGGCCCTAAAAGCGCAAGTTTCCACACAAACGTTCTATATCTAAAACTGTCACCGCAGATGTAAAGTATTATTGTGATGTTTCAAGAACTAATAGAAGACAAACTTTTAATATATATGTATAGTGAAGTTCGATGAATAGAGTCTGAAAATTCCGCTCACTTTTAATTATTCAGAATCGATCTAGCAAGAGAACAAATTACATTATTTCCGGAAAGGAAATTAAAATGATTCGTTTCTCTATTTGTCGATGTAATTAAAAATTTTAAAATATCATTATCTTACAGCATATGACGATTTTCTAAAATTCCCTTCCGTTTATTTATCAATTTAAACNTACTTGAGATTTGTAAGTTTAATGGCAAAGTTACAAACTCCACATTTTATAAAAGTTTCAAGTATCTAAATTATAATTACTCATTAATTAAATTATTAATTATATTATATATAATTAAAAACCTTTAAAGATTCTCTCAAGTGAATGAATCTTAATGAAATGTGTGTTAGTGAAATGTAACTTCATAAATTCCTAAAGCAATTGTTACCGTAGGCAGTTTTCCCTATTCAGGACCTCCCTATTAATTATGCGTAGGTCAATAGGATGAAATTATGCTACAGAAACATTCTTCTAAGAAACGAAGAAGAAGGAAGAAAAAAGAGAAAGTATAGCAAAATATTTTCTTTTCATTTATATTTTTGGAAGCATCTTAAGGTTGTTTAAAAGAGAAAGTATTTTTGGGTGGAAACAGAAGTTGAAACTGGAATTGTAAATATTCCATATACAGTATTTACAATTCTATTTTTATATATTTTTCGTGCTTTATTCATTTTCTTTGTTAAATAAATTAATTTAAAATATTTAAACGAATTTATTATCATAATTCAGGACTAAGTCAACATAAACAAGTTATAACCTACGATTTTTTTCTCTTAAATTTTTATTATTTTTTGAGAAAAGTAGAATAGTTTTAGTTTGCAACTTATATTGTAGGTTAGGTAAAATTTATAAATTCAAAAATTGATTTTTGTGTTTAAGTTACTTAAAATAAATAAGAAATTTTAAAAGATATTTTATTTTAAAATTTAAATTCTTTAAAATCTAATATATAGTTAATATGGAAGCAAATGCATTAGCATAAATTAAGAGCCGTTTACTCAAATCTTAATGGCTAGAATTTAATTTAGACTAGGAATTGTAATTTTCATGGTAAGTCTATATAAGGAACGTTTCAAAGTTCTGCGAAATAACAGTATATTTGATGTTGGTCCCTTATGAATACTTTTCGATAATCATCTTTACGATAAATAAATATTATTCGAAGATTTCCAGATGGTGAAACATTTCTGAAAGAATTAAATGATGCATAATGCATTACACAACATTTAACTTAATTCGCTAACATATTTTTTTTTACTGAAAATAAAATAATTGCTTTGACTACAATTGCTTTATCCAAAATTGTTATAGGATTATAATTAATAAAGAAAAAAAATTATATTGTATCTGTTGCAAACTAAAAATAGATAAATCCATTTAATTTTATGGTGTTTGTGTTTCTTTGAATAGGCGTGGTTGCTATACAAAATAAGAAAATAATGGTTATTATTAGTATTTTTAACAGTTTCTTTTGTTTCTTAAATTATTATCTAATAAAATGCATTGAAAAGTTTTTAATGTTTAAACTGAAAATGGATTTTTAGAGCATTGAAAGATGTGGAGCAGTAATTGAGGCCTCTTTAACATTTGAGAGGCTCAAGTAAGGATTATAACTTATTTGAATGCAGAGATTGTTAAAGTTAATATTTTAATGCATTATGTAAGTTTGATATTTTGATATAAAATATATTTTAAAATATAAAAAGACTATTCAAATAGAATTAAGTTATTATTATTATTTTTTTTTACTTTTAAAATCATACATTTTCTTATAATTGCAACCAAATTCAGCAACATCAATCTTAAAATTTATTACAGTCATTTATTTTCCTTTTAATTTTTTAAAAGGAATTTTTAAATTTATAAATATGACATAAATAAACCAACAGATACTTTGTTAAAAATATCTTTGAATAGCGAAAGAGCTAGCAAATCTATTAAAACACTTATTATACAATTAAGATAAAAAGTTTTAATAGAAAAGCGTGTTTCATTAATGTAATAAAAATCATGCTTGATTAATGAAAGTCACATATGTTCATTAAATTTCAAAATAAAATTCTACTGTTATAACAGATAATTCATTTGGAATACAGTAACTTTTAGACATATTCACTAAATAATAACTTTTTAAAAAGAATTTTAAAGCTGTGATTTATAGAAGATTTTAAGTTGATAATTTATATTCTTTGTGTAAATTAAGGAAGAATTTATTAATATCTTGAAAATAACATTATCTAATTATTTTTCTAAGTCTCTAAAGGGAAGTGAATATTTCCAAAGCTCTTAAACAATTTTAAAATATTTGCTTTACATTATAAAAGTTTATACTTCGAAATAATACTTTAAAAACTTTTTAAATATCATTTTAAATTCTAATTACAGTATAAGGCATTTATTATAAAAATATTTGATAAAATGCTACACTGGTTTAATACATTTATATTAAAAACTTCATAGTTTATAGTAAGGTTTACTATAGTATAACCTTAAAGTGATACTTATGTAATGCTTACAGTGAGTAGCATTAAAATTTGATATTAAACAGTAGGCCTGTAGCATATAGAAGTGTTAGTTTATAAAAGTAAGCTTTAGTAATCATTTGGTAATATACAGCTTACAGTAATGAATAAATTTTACAGCCTATAATAATTTTTTAAATACTGTAGCCTTAAAATTTGATTATAAAACAATATAAAATAGCATTAAAATGCTAATTTCTTAATTTGAAACAATGTAGTATATAGTAAGACTTCCTTATAATCTAATTATTCATTTACTTCTGCAAAAGTTTCTAAAACAACAAAAAATTAATGAATTAAAATTTCTTAAAATTGTTTCATAAATATTAAATAAAAAATGATAATTTAATTAAACTAATTGATTAAAATTCATTGTTGTCCTCCATAAAACATATTAGAAACAATTATCGGAATTTAATGTTTTGAGAAATATTCAAATTTACATTTAAAACAATAATTAACTCAAATTTCTCAAAAATTATTACCAATTATTATTGTTAATTACATACTTGAGATTTGTAAGTTTAATGGCAAAGTTACAAACTCCACATTTTATAAAAGTTTCAAGTATCTAAATTATAATTACTCATTAATTAAATTATTAATTATATTATATATAATTAAAAACCTTTAAAGATTCTCTCAAGTGAATGAATCTTAATGAAATGTGTGTTAGTGAAATGTAACTTCATAAATTCCTAAAGCAATTGTTACCGTAGGCAGTTTTCCCTATTCAGGACCTCCCTATTAATTATGCGTAGGTCAATAGGATGAAATTATGCTACAGAAACATTCTTCTAAGAAACGAAGAAGAAGGAAGAAAAAAGAGAAAGTATAGCAAAATATTTTCTTTTCATTTATATTTTTGGAAGCATCTTAAGGTTGTTTAAAAGAGAAAGTATTTTTGGGTGGAAACAGAAGTTGAAACTGGAATTGTAAATATTCCATATACAGTATTTACAATTCTATT